GTACAGTCAATGGTCTTCTTGTCTTTTAGTCCTTAATACAGTACTTTATTTTTCTCCAGTGTGAGAGATAAACCAGTGAAGGGGTTCCCTGTGAGGTCAGCACAACAACAGTGCTATAAATAGGAATCATCATTTTAATTCTTTGCTTGGTTATTGAACTACTCTGCTTCTTGATCACAAACTCCTCGTAATTTCAAACATGAAGTTTTTAGTAAGGAAGTAGAGAACACAGTCAACCTCAAGGGAAATGCAACCAAAAATTAAAATGAAAAACAAATCCATTTGTAATTATAACACATCTTAAAGAAAACCATAAGAAGTACAGAATTGAACTCACTGGAAAACTTGATCAATTCAAATGACCTAATATTAACCATCTGAAGAAATCAATCAAGTTTTCATTTATCTCTAGGCTCTAGTTGATCTTATGCATCCATAACACAACTGCTTCTTTATGGAAGCATCCCATTAAAAATGCAACAGCAAACCAGTTTGTTTAACATAGATCCTTCCCTGAAAGCCATCTCCCTTCAACTCCCACAACAGCACATATGAATGCTAGTGTGTCTGTGTGTGTGTGTGTGTGTGTGTGTGTGTGAATGATAGCTGGAAATGGAGGTTACTGCCTTTATTTACTCCGCAGGTATTGAACTCTATTGCTAAGTAGTTCCTCTCAATGGGAATTCCCAAGCATAACATTAATTCCCTACCTAGATCACAGTTCCTGTCGTGTGAGAGCAGCACTGCAGCAAAGAGAAAGTACTGCTTGTAATAGAAGTGGGAGCACCTTGATGGGAGCTGGAAATGCCCCTCAGGCAGTAAAATACAAACCATGGCCCTTCTCAACCCTTACAGATCCCGCTCGGGTCTGTGTGCCCATACGGCGCGGTGTGGTCCAGCCTGTGCTGAAAGAGCCTGCAACAGCTTGGTAGGTCAGCAGTTTTCCTGGGAACAAGGCAATATGCTGCTAAGGATTATCTCATCAGCACCAGAATAGGCTCAAGTGCCCAACTAACTAAAAAATGTAATTAAAACCAGAACAGTGTGTTTCCACATGCAAAGACTAAGGGAAGTCTGTAGGGAGGTGAGCTTTCTTCAAGCATGCCTCTTGAGGACATATATTTGAACATGCCCAAAATAGAAAAGGCAAATCAGAATATATATATGCTTTAAATAGATGAAACTCTTGTTATATGCGAAAGAAAATGGTGTTTCAGCAGTGTCTCAATTCTCCATTTCTTTTAGGATGTCAAGATGCCATCCATGTAAGTTTTAGAGTAACTTTATCTTGTATTCAACATTGATAAACATTCTTTTAAAAATACAAAATATTTACGTGTTATGCTAAGTGAAAGAAAGTCTCAAATCGGTATACACTGTATGATTCCTTTTTTGTACCATTTGGAAAGGCAAAAATATAAACAGTACAGATAAGTGGTTGCCAACATTTGGGGTAGAGGGAGCTTGAAGGTATTCTTCAGGATATTAAAATTAGTCTGTATCTTGCCATAGTGGTGGTTATAAGAACCCATGCAGGTGTAAAACTCATTAACCTACACATTATAGAAGTAAATTTTGCTGTACAGAAAATTTTTTAATTGGTTTAGAAATCATTTGAGTGTCTACTGTGTATATTATGATAGGGAGATTCTCCTTGCTATTATAATGCTGGATATTCAGCCTCTAGTCTTAGTCAGCATCACTACCGCATTATTCCTTGAACATCATTAGAAGACTATGCCAGCATTACAATTTCCAGCACTGTTACAACATCATTACTTCAGTGTCACCTCAGCTCCATTAGTCTCTTACTTAAATAATATAACTCAAGCTAGAGTAACTAATGGTTGATGTGAAGCATCTACTTTTCCCATTTTCCTGACTTTCACTCTGTTTCTCTAGCTTTTCAGCCATGATTTTTGAATACACAGCTAAGCAAGATGCATAAATTAATCTTCATTACCTTACAGCAAAAGGATATGCCTCACCACAAACTCTTAACTTTTCCTTCACTCTTCCTTCTTTAAAAGAATAACTAGAAATTGTAAGAAATTCTTATTTGCACATTTTTGAGAAACAGTTTGTCCTGTAAATGGGCATCAATGATACTATGATATATGAATGTGGAGGGCATTAAGCTGAGTTAAATGAGCCTGACAGAAAAAGACAAATACTGTATGGTGTCACTTCTGTGAGGAATCTTTTTTTTTTTTAAGCCAATTTCATATGGATGATAGAATGGTGGTTGCCAGGAGGCCAGTGGAGGGGGAAATAAGAGCTGTAGGTCAAAGGGTATAAGCTTTCAGTTATAAGATGAATAAATTCTGAGGATCTCATGTACAGCATGGTTACTATAGTTAATAACACAGTATGGTATAGTTGAAATTTGCTCAGAATAGATCTTAAGCATTTTCACCAAAAAAGAAAAAATAAACAGTTAACCATGTGAGGTATTGGACGTACTAATTATCCTGATCTTGGTAATCATTCCACGATGTACATGTATATCAAATTGCCACACTGTATACTTTAAATACATACAGTTATATTTATAATTAATTGTTTCTTAATGAAGTTGGAAAAAATAAAATCAGCTTTTCAAGTTCAAAACAAATGTGAAGCTATGAATAGAGTCTGAAGGAGACTTTCATATACTGCTTCTGTCCTCATTCTCTTTGTTTCTCTTACACGTTTGTGATTTTCAAGTTGTTAATGCAACCTAGTATTTTATGTACACAATTACCATATCACATCTTCAAACCCAGAGTCAAAATCAGAGGGAAAAGACTTCTCACTTCCATTTATTGTAGATCCAGATGTCCACACTCCTAACTCCTCTACCTGAAAACACTTCTACTGTGAGCATTTTCTATTTTTCTGTGTGTCTGGGAGCACGAGAGTCCATATCTGCTCTTCCATTTAAAGGCCAACTCCTATAAATCCTGCACTAATAGCAAATCCCCAAAGTAAACCTCAGGAAGAGAAACTCCACTCTCGTGTGTCGTAGGGTCCCACTGAGCGTCTCTGGACACCTTCCCTAACTGGCTCCTAGTGCTTAGTATTTGAACTCTATCCTTGAGAACAGTGTATTCCTACCTCTTCTCAGGTGCCCTCCATCCCCTGCTATCTTGTTCTTTTCCATCATGGTGACTCCATTTCCTCCTACATCAGAGACTCTGAACTTTTCTTGAAGACTTGCCTGTTCTGACCCCTGTCTTCCAGTTTCTTACTCCCTGACGTGAGCAGAGTCTTTCGCTCTATGAGTTGCCTACATTCTCCGGAGTGCACTGATGGGAAGTGAATCTCAGTGTTCTTCCAAATCCTCAGTCATTCTCTCCAAGGGAAGAGAGAAATCTCTGGGTATCCTTCCAGAACTTTCTCTGTATATACATGCTCTACACACATACACCTTTTTGAAAAATGCTTATGAATAGAAGCATAATATTCACATTGCCCTATTCTTTTGCATTTTGCTTATCTTTATATTTCAAAATAACCATATCCACTTCATTCTTTTTAAAAGTGGCATAATTGTACCATAACTTATTAATGAAACCTTTGCTGATTGGCTTTCAGTTTTCTTTTTTGGTGATGTTGCCATGAAAAACTATGGCTCAGGGAGCATCTTTGTACTTGTATTTTTGCAAACACATGCAAATATAATTATAGAAAACTTTTTGAAGTGGAATTAATTGCTGGGTCAACATTTTCAGCTTATTCATCTTCATAAGTTTCTCCTAATTTTTCTCCCAAAATGTTGTATCAATTTATATTCCTACCAAAAGGATGCAAAAATTCCCAATTTGTGTGAATTTACCAAACTTCCATATTATCAAAATTTATATCTTTATTCTCTGATAGACAAAAAGACCTACCTCATTATTGTTTAACTTGCTTTATTTAATTATTAATAAGGTCTCTATCTTTGTATATGATATAGGTTTGGGGTCAATTTATATCTTTTTCTGTGAAATATGTGTTTTGCCCATTCTTTTCTCAACAGAAGAAACAGTGTTTCTTTTTGAGGATTCTGGGTCTTCAGAAACCTCACTGGGCAGTAGGCACATGCTCTATCTTCTGCCTCCTCACACCCAAACAAGCCCCATCACTATTTCTACTATTAGATGACCTCCAGGACAGCAGTAAGGCTCACTTCCATCCTCTACTGGTCACCTTTCTGGAACTTCCACCAGAAACGATGCAGAGGAGCATTCTACTCTCTGATTCTCCAAACTTAAAGGGCGAATGATTCTAGTATCACCGGGCCCCGCCCACCTCTCCCACTTGTACCACTCTCTCCTTGTCCCCTTTCCACCCCAACGCCCCTAGGCTGCTGCTCCACCTGGCCAGGCAGAGGATGCGAGTCTGAGTCACTCTTCCTGCCACAACTAGTTTGTTGAACAAACAGGACTTGTGACATTAAATACAGCTTTGTTTTTTGTTTCCCCATCCCTTTCAACTTCATGCAGTGCGAGTAATCTCCTTTACCAGGCTACAAAATCCAGCAGTCCTTTGATTTAGGCGTCTCCTTTTTGGAATTCTATATATTCTTATAGTTGCTGTAAGTAACACACCATTTCCTACCAGTCTTAAGAATGTCCCATGGTGGCGGCTGAAACCTGGCCCTCCCAGTGCCTTCTTCTTCCCTGACCCAGGTTACTGGAGCTGCAGGTCCCCTTGAGGAAGCAGGCGCGGTCCCTCCACAGCCTTCCCACTTCACTTCCTCCCCGATGCTCTCCCTGCTCTTTCCCTCCCTCCAACAGAGGAAGCTCAGGCAAGGAGGTGACATGAGAGAAGAAAATAGTCCTTCCTGGACTGGGTGACTTCATGCTCTCGGGATTGACACTTGTTTCAAGCTGGCATCCCCGAGAGAGAAAACAAGTGCTGGACTTTCCTGTCCTTGGGGTCAGTCTCTATTACTACTGGGCCTTGCCCTTGACCCAGAGGACCCAGCTCTGCTCCTAGTGGGCCGGCCTCCTTCCCCAGGCCTCCCACCTCTTTTGGCAAAGGCCTTCTCACCCTCCCCAGCCCCCCAGCAAGCCCATGCCTGCTCTCTCTCCCCAGAGCAGTTGCACCCTCTCTGAGCACACAGGCCAGGCCTGTGCAGAGCCGCCCCCACTGCAAGACTAGGAGCCCTAGGCGCTGGTCAGTTGTTTCTCAGCCTCTTCAGGTGTCTCAGGTGCCTGGGGCAAAGTCCTCTGTGTCTCCAACCACAGGAAGCGGGAGGTGAGGGGACAGCATCAGAGATAAACAAAGCTGGGCATGAAAGAGATGACAGCAGATTGTATTTTGTTCAGTATCTTCTGCAGCAGGGAAAATGCTGTGCCCCAGGGGGATTTGCACAGAGGGAAAGGGAAGAGGAGTAAGCAGGGACCAGAGCAGAGCCAAGGAAGGGAAAAATTACAGAAAGCAGGTAAGAGGGGAGTCAGTGTAAATGTAGTTAGGCCTTCGGTGTCTGCAACTGGCATTTATGGAAGTTAGGTTTCTACCCTTCCAAAGAGGAGAGAGGGCAGAGGCCCCATCCACCCTGACATTGCACTTCCAAGTCCTCAGGTGCGTGAGAAAGACCACCTGGGTTGTAGGGATACACATGCTTCTCAAAGAAAATAGAAGAAGGATTTACAATTGCAAGCTTTTTAAGTAAATGTTCAAAGGGAGTCAGGGGCCTGTTGTCAGCTATCATTTTGAATAAATAACAAATTCTTTTGGTAGCCTTGACCTTCTCCATACAGGAACTTAAAAAGGGGCTGGGTCATCCCAGGGATAGGATGCTGGGCTGTTAGAAGCCATGGTAGAGTTCGGTCAAGTCTCTTAGTTCAGAGGTTTAGATGGAGTCATTCATGCAGAAATTTTTTGCAGTTCTCCACAGACACTCCCCAGTGGAGAACATAGTGTATAAAGCCCGGCTTGCCCCAGGTGCCTTCTCCTGATGAAATTCTTTCCTATCCCTTTCTCATGTTCTTAACCTCATTGACAGGTCTGGGTATCACTCCTTTGTACATATGACTGTGGGGAAGAGTTCCTCACATACACATTGGGATTCTATGTCTAATCACTGGTGCCTCAGTGGAAAGAACAGCAGACAGAACCCAATTCCAGTATCCTGTTAACATGGTCAAACCTATAGTTGATCCCAAGAATTGGGGCACTAGTGACAGGGAAGATTTACAAGGTCAGCAACCTAGACCGGGTGGCTCCACTCTGTCTCGACCCCTCCTCAACACAAACAACAACAAAAAACACTCCCTTGGTTTCCTGCTCTGCCGAGCACCGGTTCCGAGCTTCACTCCCTCCCCCTTGCCTGCTCTCTTGCTGTGCACATAGGAATGTTACAGATAAGGAAGCAGAAAGATAAAATTGCTCCCTTTATCCTTTGTTCGAGGCTCAGACTTTTTGGCAGATAACTCCCCTCTGAGCCTGCCTGTGTGAAATAAAGCCTCAACACTCCAAGACCTCCAAGTGCCGCTTGGATCTTCCTTCAGTGATCCAGTCCAGGTTTTTTTCAGTATTTTCTGTAACTCTAGGAACTGAAAAGTCAAAAATATGAAAATCAGCCTCATTTGCTTCTGCTTCTATTTTGGTTATGGTCTCCTGCTGAGAAAGTCTTATTTGAAATGAGGTGGCCCACAGGAAATGCTCAATGAATGAATGAATGAATGGGCCCTGTTTCTGAATGAGGCAATATTTATGCAGTATTTCATTTTGGCTGCAATGCATGAATTGTCTGATATCTGAATAGATCAGTTTTATTTTAAAATAATATATTTAAGGTTTTGTTTATAAGAATGTTTATTATATGACATTTTGAAAATACTGAAGTGCTCAAAATAGAAAGTAAACTTATTTGTAATCCCACTTCAGGACTCACGACTTTTAATATTACATATTCATAAACACATATTTTGTATGTTATTGAAAACCAAAAATACTAAACTATATAATAATAAACTGAATTATATGATACAGAATTCATATAACTTAAATATGGTACATCTTCTCTGGATACTATGGCCTTTTCTTAAGTACAACTTTGTTCAAGTTTGCTGTTGTGTTTCAGTTTGATTTATAAATCCTACACTAGTCAGCTTTTGCTTCAATAATGCTGCATAACAAAAAACCAGGTGGCATAGAACAATAAGTACTTAGTTCTCTCTCCCATCTACAGGGGCAGGTCTGCCAGTCACAACTGCACTTGGCAGGGTTTGACCTCAGGCTGCTGGTTTGGTTCAGGTGTGCTCCAGATGTCTCAAAATTCCAAGCCTCTGTTTGTTTTGTGTCCAGATACATCCCATTAGCCAAAGCAAGTCACATGGCCAAGCCCAAAATCAATAAGACTGAGAAATATACCCTGATTTTGGTGTAAATTCACATAGAAAAGGATGCAGGAAGGGGTGAAGAATTGGAAACAACAATCCATTCTCGTCCAGGACTAAATATAGTTATTTGTATCATTTCCTTCTTGTTAGGCCTAGGATATTGATTTTTTTAATACTTTATTATGATAAACAACAAATTATAACATTTATTTAGCATGAGCATGAAAGACATTCTAAATGCACTTAAGACTGGTAATTACTCTTAACATTCGAATCCTCCACAATCCATAGTTAATGTTATGTAGTCATTTTCTTTTGACTAATTATTACATTCCTTTGAATGCTCCACTAAACTTTTCTCTAGATTCTCTGGAGAAAGGAAGCTGCCTTTCTCCAGGTTTCACTAGAGCCCTATGAGGATAGCTTTTTCCCGTTTCTGTGGCTGTAGTTTTAACCATGCCTCTCAAAGAAAATTAGTATTTTGTATATTAAAACATTTCTATATTTCTAACATAGCCTTAAAACATAACTATTTCTAATTTCAAATATCCCTACATCTGTTTATTTTAATTTTTTTCTCTTAAGCACATAATGTAAAATATTCAACTTAGGTTTTTATGAAATGAATAAGAAATAGCTCTGTTCTTACGTTACTTAATAATATGTTAATCAGGTCATATTGTTTTAGAATTTGCAGGTCATCTTCTATTTCAATCTTTAAGTCTGCCCAAAGAATCAAGTAAACCAAGAAAATTCTTTCAACAATGACATCACCGTCATTGCAATTGATCCTTTCAGCTGTTTTCCACGTGCACTAATGAGGTGTTTTGATCCATGTTATATAAAATATGCCATTGGTTTCATTTTCCTATTTGTACCCAGGTCCTGATAAAGTGTGCACAGACCCAGTGAGCATGTCCTCTTCAAGAGCTAAATTACTTCTTGATAGGATGGGCATAAGAAAGGAGCATTAAGTCTCTTGTGCAACCAGGAGAGAACTAGTCAATAGTGTGCCCTCAACTGGGGGCTGTATTGCCCCCACCTGGAGGGGGTTTGGGGAATGTGTCAGGCATGTTTATTTGTCA